ACTGGATAAATGTTCACTGCAAATACAGAATTTCCACAGTTTTAAGTAGGTGTTCTCAGCCATCAGAAGTAAAGGATTCTGGAATCCTCTTAAAATGAATTTTTAAAACATATGTATTAAATGCCTCACTGACTTAGACCATGAGAACACAGCAACATAAAAGGTGCCGAGAGTCAGATTCAATGGATACACCAGGCAGAGACAGACTGCTCATCAGTCTTCTCCACAGGGTGGGGAGAGATCATAGTGTGGGCACAATGGAGTCAGAAGACAATTTGGTCTTCCATTGGAAACAGATTTTCTGAGCTACTTTGAAAGAATATAGACCTTTAGTTGCATTTGAACAGCAAAATTAGTGGATTTGCAGAAATGATTGGCCTTCATTATTGTCATATTATTTTACAATGTGATACCGAGTATGATGGTTTTTTTCCTAAAAGAAGTACTGAGACCCAGCAGTCCTTCATAGCAGAATGACTTCCTCACTTTTAGCAATGCAGAAATGCACCCAGGCTTCTCACAGCGTGTGGTATTAACCCATCTCATTTGGATAGTAGAAATCCAAACTTTGCATTGTCCCATGTAAGATATACATGTAATTACAGGTGCATAAACACACACACACACTCATGCCAGTTTGTTTGATGAAGGAAAAGAACCTCTGACATTCAACCCAACATGATAAATGCTAGCCTAATGAAAAAGTGGAGGAAGAAACTGGAAATAAACGCAGCTATTTGAACCATGCCTTTTAACCACGTTAGCTAATCTCTTTGAGGTGAAAATTCTTCTCTATGCTTCTTTCTTGTGGAGTCCATTTCTAAGAACTGTTTTTCGTTAGAAGAGAATTTCTTCCTAGATGGTGTTAGCTTGTAGGACACCTTGTTATTAGTTGCCCATCATGGGGAGATGAGATGTCACCCACCCCTGCAGTCGTTAGGTCCCTGGGGGCAGATTGGTGAGGACCGGGTGGTTATCACTCAGCTGGATCCCCCAGAGCATGTGGAATGAATTACTCACTGCTTAGAGTTCAACAACATATATCTATACATCTCTACCAGACGGCATAAAACTTTTATGATACAGAATGAGCTGAGGCCATTGATATGTTTAAAACAGAGTGATTTCAGCTAAGACCCAAAGCAGTAAAGTCTTAGAGAAACAAATGGAATTGTAAGACCTGGGATTGTTAGAGGACAGGGAGAGGGGCAGCCCAAACCCCGCAAACCTGCCTATTCTAAATGGGTTCTGCCATCCGCCGCATCAACACAAAACATAGGAGACTTTAATGGGAAGGAACTTTAATAAAACTAGGAAACAATACAGGTAAGGCAAAGAGTCTAGTTTCTAAATGAAGCACCCAAAGTTACCCGTCCCCTCGTGGGTAAAAGTCCATCCAAATGGGATTGGCCCAGAGCAAAGCCCCAAAGCCTGCCACAAGTCTAAGGCATCTTCCAGTGGGGACCCACAGAAAAGGGTCAGAAACAACCAGAAAAGCCCGGAAGGAAAAGAGCAAAATCAACATCAAGATAAAAGCTGCCATTGTCACCTCCCCATGGGTCTCACCCACATCTGTGTCACCCAGTCCACGACCAAAAGACAAGCGCAGTTTCTTCACATGTCTCTAGGCTCCATGCGCCTCCTCCAGGTCTCCTGGCTCCATCCTGCTTCCTTCCTCAGTCTCTTCTGCAGCTTCTCCTCTTCCTGCTCAGCTCCACCCTCCCTTGGGTGGGGCAGGGAATCTCCCCCTTTCCTGGGGACCACCCTGTTACAGGATAAGCCCTTCGCCTTCGCTTTGTGTTACACAACCTGCTTGCTTTCCTCTTTCTGCTGTTGACTTTCCTTCCTATTAGCTACAATGATGGCTCCCCCTCTCCTTCTGGTCTCTGACTAAGCAGCCCTGGGATGCCTACTCTGATCCCCCTGTTTGAAATAGATCTTCCCACCCAGCCCTCTGTCTTCTTTTGCTCTTTTATTTTTTCACCAGCTGACATTTTATGTTTTTCTTACTCATTTGTCTATTGTCTATTTTCTTCAACGTAAACTTATAAGTTGCATAAAACAGACATTTTTATATTTTCACTATTATATCCCCAATGCATAGAACAGTGTCTGGCATCTGGTAGAGTGCATCTTTGTTTGGTGAATTAATTTATTTGTTAGCTCATTACTTAGTTAATGAATTTCTATCTGCCAGTTCTGTCCTTGTGGAGCTTATAATCTAGTAAAATAATTGTAATTTACTGAGTGGTTACTAATAAATATACATATGCCATTTTATTTGAGCTACAGCCCATTTTATTTTATTTGAGCAGTAGCCCATTTTACAGATGAGGAAACAAACTTGGATGAGTCAGATAACTTGACCAAAGTTGGTACCTACCACCTTTCTTCAAAACCTAGTTCTTAACTGCCTTCCACTGAAATAACATTCTTCTATGCTGAACTTTAAATGGTACTCTATGCCCAAACACTATTTCAAATAGTTTAACTATATTTAAGTAATAACTCTTGACAAATAACTCCATGATGCAGACCCAGAGCGAATCAAGCATCTCTTTTAAAATGAAAAATTTTAGGGACACTTATATCCCCTTTCTTTCCTGCTACTCCCTACCATCTTCCATATTTTCTCTCCTTTCTGAGGCTGCTTTGAATGTCTATCTTATTTTCCAGTGCAAGATGCTTTTTGATTTAACTTTACTTTCATCTAACTTTATTTTCTTTCTTGTATCTTATGTATATTTCCACTCCTCTTAAGTTCTGGTTTCAACCATTTCTTGAATTCCTTTTTTTTTTTTTTGGGGGGGGGGTTCTTTTTTTCTCCCCTCTGCCACTAACTGTATTTGGGACTAAACTATTTTGAAAAATATACAATAATTTACAAAAATAAACAAATCAGTATGACCACCAATAACAACTGCTTTATTTGATCTTGCTGTTTTTTCTGGCTCTACTCTTCTTCCTATTCTCTTCATTGTGACATATTTCAAGTGGTTTGTACCATAGTGATTAACTACTATTGCTTTTGCTTTTCACCAACTGTTTCCTTAGCCTGTTATCCTCACAGGGCAGTCCACATCATACCTGATCATCTAGTTGTTAAAATGATCTTTGCTCAATACCCTTAAACTTTCTCCCACTGTTTACAGTGATGCCCTCTGGAGCTCCAGAAAATATCCAGTTCCTGTTTCCATATTATAGCCCTTCAGATAGTTGGTGAAGGCAACCATAATTTCCCCCAGCCTTCTTGCTGCAAATTAAAAATCCCTGGACTTTGCAGGCATTCTTCAGTAACAGAGTTTTGAGGTATGTTACAACTCTGTAGGTTTCTTAATGTGTACCTAACAATATTTCTAATTGCATTAAAAATCAGTACTAATGTACTATTTCTATTTAATGGAGGAAGTGTAACTTGCTTAGATCCCCTAGCTTTATTTCATTTTATCAGTGACTGTGTAGTATTCCTTTGTAGTATACAAAGGAATGAAACCACATATAATCTGACCCAAGCTGTCCCTTTGTTTTGATGCTAGCAAGGTCACATTGGTTTTTAAATATTATCCTACTTCTGGCTCTTAATATGTTACTACATATTAGTAAATTGTGTAGCTGGGTTTTTGAGCCTAGATACAGGAGATTGCACTTATTTTTAATTTTCAGTGTACTTGTTTCAGTCTGTCATCTTATCTAACTTTAGATCACAACTCTGCTTTCCAAATGGTAACAGTAACCACATATGATTAACATATTGCTATCGACAGTTCCCTTGAAATCACTGACAAAAATTTTTTTTAAGATTTATTTTCTTTATTTATGCATACAAGAGCTGGGGTGTAGGCCAGAGGTACAGGGTGGGTGAGAGGATTCACTAGCAACACAGTGGGAGAAGAATAGGCAGATCCCCTGAAATACACTGCTAAAGGGAGCAGTGGTCTAGACAGGAGAGGTCTGCTGCTCCATGTGGGTTAGCTCCCAGCTGGGGATCGAATTTGTGCTACATGGCTGGCCATAGCTTCATAGTGCTGAGACTTAACCCCCTTGCACCACCTGGGAGTTCCACTGGCAAAAATCTTAAGGAATATATGGTATTTCATTTTCAAAAACAGTTGACAACCATCAACTTAAGCTTTGGCATTAACTCCTTTGAAAATGTGCTTAACTCACTGCTATCGTACCCTCCTTCTCTTGGGTCTAGGGGTGTGCCCTTGCTGTCTGGCAGTGGACCTCTTCCAGGGCATCCCTTTCAGTAATGCTTCAGCATGCACTTGGATGCCCTCAGACATCTCCACCTGCCACCTTTCCTTAGTCTTCCCTCTGCTCATCATGACCTGCAGGCTTTTGAGAAAGGGAAGTTAAGGCTATAATCATTTCAACCATTAATGTCCATGGCTGCTGTGAGAGCGTCTCCCCTCTAACACATACAAACAGAGACAAAAATTATGGGGAGGAGATGAGAATCAGAATAAATATAAGTGATTAAGAGTTAACAACTAGGGCCTCCCCGGTGGCGCAGTGGTTGAGCGTTGGGTTGCGAAGCTGCCCGCAGCCTCTGCGGCGCCGGTTCGATCCCCGGCTGCTCCCCGGCCACCGGAGGAGAGTCCCACATGGCGCGCAGACCTCTCCTGCCGCCCGCTGCTCCCCTCAGCAGTGTACTTCGGTCCTTCTGCCTGCTCTGCTCCCCGCTCTGGCTCTGGTGAATTCTCTCACCCTCCCGCGCTTCTGACTGTACCCAGTGCATGTATAAACAAAACAAACAAACAACCAAACAAATAAATAAATAAAACATGCCTCTATTTAAAAAAAAAAAAAGAGTTAACAACTATGAGAACTGTGACTTTATTTGGAGGCACTATTTGAACTAAGAATTAAACAATTCTTCTGATGCCTAGGCTGTCCTCAGCCTCCTCTTCTCTTATGAAGACAAGAAGAAACTCCATTCAAAGCAAAGGTTATCCTGTGACTTCTTGTATATTTCCATCATGTTTGTACTCTGCCAGGAACTTACTGCCAGCAGAGAGAGGTGGAAGCCATCATGGAAGGTGACGAGGATGACAGAGGCTGCTGCTGCTGCAAACCAGGTCATTTGCCTCACCTGCTGTCCTGCAATGCTGCCTTCAACCTCCGCTGGCTCACCTGGGAGATCACGCAGACGCAGTACATCCTGGAAGGCTACAGCATCATGGACAACAACGCAGCCACCATGCTGCAGGTGTTTGACCTCCGTAGGATCCTCATTCGTTACTACATCAAGGTACTCCTCTTGGCCCCAGACACTTGGTAACTCTGTAACACTGGGCTGCTTGACAGACTCTTGCAAAGCTTTGTAAAGAGCTAGATTGTGAAGCTTCTCCTAAAGCTCCTGAATCCCAGTGAGGTTTGGGAGCCATTAGTTTCATGAAAAGTCCTCAAGAGTTTTGGGTTAGCCTGAGGTTGTACCCCTAGTCATATTTTTTAAGCAAGATTGAATTAGGGAGCCCAGGAAGCTTCCTTGAAGAAGGAATTAGTGCAGGAAAACAGGGTATATTCTGAGGAGGGGTCAAAAATTGGGGAACAAGAGGCTCAGAAAACTATCCAATGAACTGTTTGGGGACTGAGTCTTAGAAGAAAGTAAAAAAGGGATTTATTGAGTCATTTGGAGAATGACTTATCAAGGGGTTCAAGGGAGAACGTAGATGAGAAGCTATTGGGAAACCTGAAGATGCACTTGGCAATATTAGTCAGGGTACGATCCCTTTTTTCTTTTCTTAATTGATGTGTAGTTGACTTGTAATATTAGTTTCGGTGTATCCTATCATGATCCGATATTTGTATAAATTGTGAAATGATCACCACAATAATTTCTTAATCATAACCATACAGAGGAATTTTTTTTTCTTATAAGAACTTTTAAGATTTATGATCTTAACAACTTTAAAATATGCAATACAGTATTTTTAATCATAGTCACTGCTATATGTTACATTTGCCAAAATTATCTATTTTATAACTGGCAGTTTGTGCCTTTTGACACTCATCACCCATTTTGCCCACCCTAACTGCCTGTCATTGGCAACCACCAATCTGTTCTCTATGAGTTTGTCTCTTCCTTCTTTTCTAGATTCTGCATGTAAGTGAGATCATATGGTATTTGTCTTTGTCTCTCTGACCTATGTCGCTCAACATAATAACATCAAATTCCATCCATACTGTTGCAAATGGCAAGATTTCATTCTCTTTTATTGCTAAATAATATACTACTGTGTGTGTGAGTGTGTACACATGTGTGTATCACATTTTCTTTATCCATTCATCAATAGACACTTAGGTTGTTTCTCTCTCTTATCCAGCTTTCTTTCGGTTTCTATTTGCATGGTATATCTTTTGCTGTCCTTTCATTTTCAGTCCTTGTGTGTTTTTACTTCTGAAATAAGTCTCTTCTAGGCAGCATATAGATGAGTCTTCTTTTTTCATCTGTTCAGCCACTTAGTGTCTTTTAATTAGAGGATTTAGTCCATTTACATTTAAAGCAGTTATGATAGATAGGTACTTACTGCCATTTTGTTCATTGTTTTCCAGTTGCCCAGTCACATTCTAAAACTTGGCACTAGTAAGAAGTCTGTCTTCTAACGTGGGTCTGTTTCTTCACTTCTAACACAGCATAAGTTGCTCGTCATGATGGGGATGAGAAATGAAAGCATTCTGGAAATATTACCAAGCTTCAATGTTTACAAGTTACAGATGTCAATTTAGATGCTTTGCAAAGGCTCTGCCTTAGAACCAGTATCATTTTTTAAGCTCATGACAAAAATTCAAAAATATAACTCAATGATACAATCAGGATTAATAATGACAGCCTTTTCTCCTCATTCATGTGGGTACTAATAACATGTTTTTTCAGTTACTTAGTCCCCATGTCTTCTCAGACTACATTCAGCTTCAGAAAATGTGCAGGTTTGGAGTAAGTCTCCTAGAGAACAAATAAGAAACTTGGCAAAAGAGGCAGAACTATAATTGGGGGAAGGGGCAGGCGAGGGCAACCGTGGCTGAGGATGTATGTGTGGTGGCTCCTATCTTGAAGGAGCATTTTACATGGTGGCAGCCCAAGATGGTGTGTGTGGTGGATGGGGCGCGGGAAGAGGGTCCACATTTTAATGCCATTCAAAATCAGGAAGCTCATCCATCTGCCAGCTGAGTCTGACACAAGCAGAAATGGAGAAATACAAAATAAAAGGACAACATGCGTTCCAATCAACTAAAAAGGAAGATATTTAGAAATTTGGGATAGCAACCACATTGTGGGGAGCCCCAATGTTTTCAACAATAAGGGTCAATTCTACAGAAGACAGACTATGAAAGTCATAAGTTTAAATAACTTTTAATGATCACTTCCCAAGTTGACTGCAACAAAAAATGTTTCTGAAACCTTTTTCTGTGTCAGAAAATTTATAACAGATTTAGCGGTTCATACTCACCACCTTGGTGTGTGCTAGAGAGATTCAAAATGTCACATCCAAAACTCACACAAAGCTACAGATGTTTTCCCCAACCATACGTAAATTGGGGAAGATTTGGAAGTCCATCAGGGAGTTGTGACCTCTTGCCTCACAGTTCCATGGTTTGGTCCTCAGCCATTACAAATGAGATTGCAAAATGTTTTTCATACAGAGAGCCAACTCTAAGCAAAATCAGTATATCAGGTGGCATTAGATTTGACTGTGGGTTATTAAATAACAAAGACACACGTGCTTACACAGAAGTGTATTTCTCTGACATAAACGAAGGTGATATAGTAGCTCTGGTTCATGACATCCTCAGGGATCCAGATTCCTTCCAGCTCCCAGCACCACCATTTTAAGTGTCTTCCCCACCTTTGTGTTCCAAGATTTAACTCCAGGCTTAAATGGATGCAGGAAAGGACACAGAAAAGAAAGGCCAAGGGCATGCAGCAGCTGCCCCTTAAAAGGTTCCTGGAAGTTGTCACAGTATGCTCCTGCTGTATCTCATGGGCCAAAAGGTTGCCATATGGAATGTGAGTATGATGGTGTGCTACCTAGCGGAGCACTACTCACAAGCCAGGGCAGACTTATGACATCAAACTTCCCTGTAGGCTAGATAATCACAAATTTGCATTCTATTCGGAAATTCCAAGTGGGTCTGGGGAGAACCCAATCATCTGTATTTTTAAGTAAGTTTCCTAAGTGGTTTGCTATACAACTGAGTTTAGGAATCACCACAGACATATTTGTGTTCCATGGAAAGAATATTCTTAAGGGCTTTCAGGAGAGGCTGAGATTTGGGGACAGATGGGAGCCCTCTTGTTATTTCACTGTTCAGGCTTAGTCTTGCGAGGCTTTCTCTGAACTTTCCTACCCTTTGGTGAGGAATAGCTCAGAATTTTATTCATTTCCCTGGTGTAGTTAAAGGAAATTTTATGAGTGCTGAACAGCTATTGGAAGAGAAGAAACAAGTATTTTAGGGTAAAAACAAATGAATATTTTCTTCTTAGGCTCTAAAAATTGCCTGGTAGCTCCGAATTGCTTCAAGTTTCAAGAGTTTGGTTTCATCCTTATTATTTTTTTAATGGACAGCTAAATTGAAAAGGAAGAATAGCTTGGAATAATTCCTTTACACAAAAGCATATTTTTTTAAATCTCCTAATTAACTGGGTCAGTTTCCCCACCCTCTATGAATATATTTGAAATCATTTCCTTCCTGACAACTTGAGGTTTTCCCTGGTGCCTCCTCCGTCTCTCCTCCATTTATTAGTGCCTAAAACCCTCATAGCAGTCAAGAAATTAGCTGTCTGCCAGGGCCTGGTTTTCTGCTGCCATTGTTTCTGCCCAGCTCCTGTAGAAAGGAGATGTGCTTATCGCTGGCCTTGCAGAATGAAGAGTGAAAAACCTGGACATCTTGGTCTGCCTGCCAGGGCCCGTCCTAGAATGAGTCCTCTGATAGAATGTGCTGATCTACAATTAAAATGAGAAACCAGGAGAATCCCTGCTGGAGAAGTCAGATATGGTGAATTAATTCAGAAGAGGTCCCGCTTTCAACACAGATCAGGTTTTATGCACGCAGTTCCTTTTCACTGTCCTTACTTATTAGTTTTACTCAGTATCCTATTCATTCATCCTGACAGAATCTGAAGGATTTCACACTGTTCAGTGATGATGTCTCCTGACAGAATTTCTGCCTAAATAAAGTGGAAATCAGGTATTGCTTGTAACTAATTGAACTAGTTAGGATGGTTTTCTCCCACTGAGGGGAGTTGGTACTGATTCTCCTTACATGTGGGAAAGCTTAGTCGAGCTGGGGTCCTGATCAAGAGTCAACACTGCAAGATTCTGTCAGACATCGGGGTGGAAGTTTTAACCTCTGGGATTCAGAGTCCTCATTAATTATTCTGACTTCATCCTTTGAGGGGTTATTTTAATTCCTCTGCAGAAATGAATGAGAAGGTAAACATTTGTCTTTCGATTTTTGTTTGTTATTCCTAGCTGGCACACGTGATTGGGACATATTGGAGAAAACTAGACCAGATGTTTGCTAGAACCAGATGTTTAGACAGTCCAAATTTTTTCCCCTTTACAACAATCAGCTGAGAAATGAGATTTTTTGGCCATGGTCACAGATCCACATTTATCTGTGACTTGGGCTGACTACGTAAACTCTCTACCTCAGAGAAGCTTTAAATTATCCTGACAGGGGCCTCTCTGGTGGCACAAGAGCTTAAGCATAGCACTGTGAAGCTATCTGCAGCCTCTGCAGCACGAGTTTGATCCCCAGGTGGCCAGGGAGCTACATGGTACAGCAGACCTCTCCTGTCTCGCCTGCTGCTCCCTCAGCAGTGTATTTCAGTCAGTCTTCCTGTTCTGTTCCCCACACTGTCTCTGATGAATCCTCTTACCCCACCCCCCACACCTCTGGCCTGTACCCCAGTTCTTGTATGCATAAACAAATTTCTTTTAAAAAAATAAAATAAAATGTCCTGCCAGTAAATAGACAATAGACAAGCATCTAGATTCAGAATTTACATTTTTGGTTATTAGATGTGCCCTCTGGTGAGCAGCACAGACCCAGCTTTCTCCTGTCCCCCAACACCTAACCTTTCCAGAGATGCTGCTCGTGCCACTGTAGAGGCAGGACTGGGCACAGGTGCAGGTTTTCTGATCCCATGCAGATCGGGTAAAGGAGGAGTCAGAGTCCTCAGTAGTTTTGCAGGTTTTTTATTTGGGGTTCACCAGGCATATGGCAGGCAGGGGTGCTGGCTGGGGGGCTGGGAGGCTGGCAGGCCTCCCAGCCCCCAGCAAGTCTTCACTCTATCTGGGCTCTCTAGCGTTCGTTCTGCTGCTTCTCGGCTTCTCTTTCGGTTCTGCTGCTGCTGGCTGGGGCTGCTGGCATCACCCCGTGACGCCGCCCTTAAAAGCACAGTCTTAGCTCAGCTGAATCCATCTACCTATGCCCACACCCTATTCCAGGTGCCCGCCATCAGGCATGCATTCAGGACAAGGATCCATCATCTATCCTGATGGCGGAAGGGCAGAAAAGCCTGACATTTTCTTTACCCTACAGTCCACCCCCTCAGGGTTTTCTGCCATACAGTCTATACATATATATACAATTTTCTAAGCAAACAAACAATGCAGCCATGGCCCACAAAAGCAAATACATCAAATATAACAAAATACAATATAACAAAATACAACAGAACACAAATAAGTCCAGGCAGGGCACCAACCAAGAGCAAAAGACAATTATTGGTACCAGCAGATGAGCCACCAAATCTGCTGCCGAAGGCACTGCTCATACGAGGGAGGGGAATCACTCACAGCATCTACTATAACATACCAGGAGCCGTCAGGCTTCCTGGCCTTCTCTGGCTGTAGTCTAGTCTACAAGGCGCACACACAGCATCCACCCCCAGGATGCACTAGCTCTGGGGTTGGCAATTTTATTCTGTTGGGGGTAATCGCCAACCCTCAGGGTTTCTGTCTGCAGTCGCTCCAACACTCGGCCTTCACGGCCACCCATGCGACTCACAGACCCCTGCACTCAAGCCAACCCACTGCACAAGCACATGGGTCGGGGATCCAAACTCTGCATTTGGCTTGGGCTCCACCCCAAGCCACATTCCCCACCCGTCCCCCAAGGACAGGTTCCTCAGCTCCTCACCCTCACTCAAGAATGAGCAGGGCATCACCCACAGGTGATTTTACGAGACTCACAGGGCTTCAGCATACCCAGGCTGCTTAACAGCCGCTCAGGGCTTCTCAACTTATCATCAGTACCAACTTTTGCTTTCTTAGTTGGCTTTTCTCCTCCACCTGGCTGCTGGGCATAAACAGGCTGCTTTTGGCCATCTAGGCCCACTGGCCACCCCTAGATTCCCATAAAAAAACATAACCTGCCAAGGTCCTCCGCCTTCTGGCGGGATTGTCAGTCCAAGTTTATCAGTCCATGTCCATCAGTTGAAGTCCATTGGCCTCTCCTTGCATCAGCAACAGCAACAGCCTGCTGCCTCAGGGGTCATTGGCTAGTCCTTTCCGGTGTTGTTGGCTGGTCCTTTCCGGTGTCGTTGGCTGGTCCTTTCCGGTGTCGTTGGCTGGTTCTCTCGGGCGTCTCCTTCACGCCAGGTCTCGTCCTGTAGCTCGTGGACGTTGACCACCTTCTGTGCCGCCATGGCAACTCCAGCGTCATCACAGGCAAACAGTCTGTTCTCCTTAGTCCCTCCAGGTCTTCGGAGGGCTCCAATACCCGTCTACATGGATCCTGTCGACTTACGCCAATTGTAGGGGGCAGGACTGGGCACAGGTGCAGGTTTTCTGATCCCATGCAGATCGGGTAAAGGAGGAGTCAGAGTCCTCAGTAGTTTTGCAGGTTTTTTATTTGGGGTTCACCAGGCATATGGCAGGCAGGGGTGCTGGCTGGGGGGCTGGGAGGCTGGCAGGCCTCCCAGCCCCCAGCAAGTCTTCACTCTATCTGGGCTCTCTAGCGTTCGTTCTGCTGCTTCTCGGCTTCTCTTTCGGTTCTGCTGCTGCTGGCTGGGGCTGCTGGCATCACCCCGTGACGCCGCCCTTAAAAGCACAGTCTTAGCTCAGCTGAATCCCATCTACCTATGCCCACACCCTATTCCAGGTGCCCGCCATCAGGCATGCATTCAGGACAAGGATCCATCATCTATCCTGATGGCGGAAGGGCAGAAAAGCCTGACATTTTCTTTACCCTACAGCCACCTACCCAGAGCCTCAAGCTAGTTGGATAGGTAAGTCAGAGATGCCAAAGGTACACTGTGTGCAGACTGTGTACTAAGTGCTTCATATACATCATCTTGTTAGAGGGCAGGGAGAGGGGCACCCCAGACCCCGCAAACCTGCCTGCTCTAAATAGGTTCTGCCATCTGCTGCATCAATACAAAACATGTGAGACTTTAGTGGGAAGGAACTTTAATACAATTAGTGAACAACACAGGAAAGGCAAAGAATATAGTTTCTCAATCAAGCACCCAAAGTTACCCGTCCCCTCATGGGTAAAAGTCTACCCAAATGGGATTGGCCCAGAGCAAGGCCTGAAAGCCTGCCACAAGTCTAAAGTATCTTCCAGTGGGGACCCATAGAAAAGGATCAGAAACAACCAGACAAGTCTGGGAGGAAAAGAGCAAAATCAAAATCAAGACACAAATGGCCATTGTCACCTCCCCATGGGTCTCTCACCCACATCTGTGTCACCCAGTCCATGACTGAAAGGCAAGTGCAGTTTCTTCATGTGTCTCTCAGCTCCTGTGCCTCCTCCAGGTCTCCTTATGGCTCTCCATCCTGCTTCCTTCCTTCCTCAGTCTCCCTTGCAGCTTCTTCTCTTCCCCGCTCAGCTCCACCCTTCTTTTGGGTGGGGCAGGAAACCTGGAACCTCCCCCTTTCAGGGGACCACCCTATTACAATCTCATTTTAAATAAAACAGTGATGAAAAATGGGCATCGTTATCTCTCCTGTCTTTCCCACCTATTTTCGACTTCCTTTGGCCTCTTCTTCCTCCCTTCCATGGAAGGGATTTCTTAAGGTCAGCATCAATGTCCTGGGGTGTGTGCTATAGAGGCTGGCAGAATAGATCAACTACTGAGTCCACTTATTGCCTGTGGGCTAACTTTTCTTGCTCCCTCACTTTGGGGTCAGGTGTATCATGGAATCTAATAAAAACATGCCCAAAAGAGGGAAACTCAATGTTCTGAGCCACAGATTAGTCTTGACTGAGCAAGAGAGGCTGAGTCAGGAATTAGCCTTGTCTAGCCCAAACCCAGCCACCAGGTATCTGTCTACTGGAAGCGGCCAGGGGGATGGGGCAATCTGCTTAGAAAAGAGCATTTTGGTGTCACCTTTAGGTGTCAGTCACCTAACCTGTGTTCATGTCCATTCCATATGTGCTACTGTCTGTCTTTTCACTTGGAAAGGAGGTGTTTTTATAATCAGAGAAGCCATCAGTGAAAGGTTTGATCTCTAGGGGCATCACTGCCTCCTGGCAGTAGACGTGGCCCTTCCTGTGGCTCCAGATTCCATGAGCTGCTCACCATGCTCCAGGCCCACCTCAGCCTCAGTGGCACCCGGCACCTCTTCCGATTTCCTGTGTGGTTGAAAAGTGGTGCAAGTTGGAACAGAGTCCTCAGCCACGTATGAGGCTCCATGCTGATGTATCACATCACACTTGAATTTCCATGGACTCTGTCACAGAATGGGCGATAGACTGTTGGAAGGAATCATATTTTCAAAACCTACAAGATGACTTTCACGAAAACTGTGACTCCAAATAATAAAGCCCAGGAGTAGCAGTTCTCCCAATTGGGGCTTACAGGTGAGGTGGCTGCTAGGAGGGAAACATGGGTTATTTTTGAGCATATCACAGATTTCCCCTGTGATATCTTGTTTTCTCTCTACAGAGTCTGGGCACCTGCAGCCGTGCACGTGCATTCTTTGTGTGTGTGTGTGTGTGTGTGTGTGTGTGTCTATGAGAGAGAGAGATGGAGAGAGAGAGAGAGCGCTCCAGGGAGTGTGCGCACGCGAAAGAGGGGAATGGGAAGGGAGAGAGAGAGAGAGAGAGAGAGAGAGAGAGAGAGAGAGAGAGAGAATTCTACATAAGAATTACTGTGATTTAGTTCACCAAACACCTTTTGGGGCCCTGGATGAGGGTCTGCCCCAGTATTTTTCAGGTGGATCAGTCCAGCCCAGTGTCCCCAGAAATTGAAGGGTGCTTTCATGAGCTTCTCTCAGAAGGGATAGGGCTGGCTGCCATTCTTTCTCATCTCAGATTCTGTTCTGATACATTCATTAGCATTTTGATCTTCTCACTTCCCTCTTTCCTACAGTGACCCTTAAGAGTGGGCTTTTAAGAATGTCTTGTGCGGGTTCTATGCATTAAGATCTAGCAGGAAATACAAATGTTACCACATGGGGGGAATTTCATGTCTCATAGTTCCCTGATATTGATTTACCTTATGAAATATAATAAATAAGGAGTCGTTCTGGTTTTAGAAAGGCTATAAAGCCTCAAACTCTTGTTTTCTCTCTGCAGAGTATAATATACTACATGGTCACGTCTCCCAAACTCCTCTCCTGGATCAAGGATGAATCACTTCTGAAGTCCCTGCAGCCTTTTGCCAAATGGCATTACATTGAGCGTGACCTCGCAATGTTCAACATTAACATCGATGACGACTACGTTCCGTGTCTCCAGGGCATCACGCGGGCAAGCTACTGTAATGTTTATCTGGAATGGATCCAATACTGCGCGCGGAAGAGGCAAGAGGTGGGTAATGGAGGTGGGGGACTAGAGGCCTTGAAAGGAAACTTAAAAAGCTTAGAAAGAAGGAACTTTGTAAAGCCCATCTCTTCCTTTAACTCTATGGCAGATTAATGTAGAGAAGAGAAAAAAAGCATTGGTATCAAGATAAATATTTCACAATTAAACAGAATGGAAAGGATGATGCTTAGTGAAATAAGTCAGAGGAGAAAGACAAATGCTAGATAATTTCATTCATATGGGGAATATAGAGAAACAAAATAAAGGAACTCACAAAACTAAACCAAAATAAGCCCTATAATATGACTGTGAAACTGAGTCTATGGAAGGGAAGAGTGTGCATGGGAACAAGGAGGGAGGGGCCCAGTGGTCTCTGGTAAAGGGACAAGGGTGCTTTGGGCCTGGTGTGGTAACATATCCGAGGAGGTGTGATCCTATTCCCCTAAATCATATACAGTGTTGTAAATCAGTGTTACCTCAGCAACAAAAGAAATTTTTAGAAAATGTTTATGTACTATATCTCCTCCAAAGAAAAATTGGAGGTAGTTCCCTCTAAACTGTGCTCAGGGACAGTGCAGTTTTAAACCTCTATCAGCTTTATAAACTTGAAGACTTTGTTTCTCTGTTTAAAGTTACTTTTTGAAATTTCGGTGCCATGCTGAAATCTGGAGAATTTACTGGCCTCCTATTCAATCATGGACACGCAAATGCTGTTTAGCCAGCAGAGGTTCAAATTGCTTCCATAGTTGTTTTTCTTGTGTTGTTATTGCTTCTGTGCTGAGAACACTTCTAGAGATGAATGCAGGCTCTTAGAAATGAAACCAGGGCCGATGATAGCAAATAAAAAGAAGAGAAGGCCAGCCTAGGAGGAGGAAGGGAAAGAAATCAAGTGGGGGGAATTGGTTTACTTTGCTTCTCGGGATCCGAAAACCTGATTCCAGGTGTTCTTGGTGGAAACAGTGGAGACAGTAGATTCAAACTGAAACACAACTTCCTCAGCAGCTGGTGAAGCATGTTGTCGCATGACCTGTAGAAGGTAAACCAAGTAATGACACTAGCCCGTGTCCTTAACCTTTTCATGAGTGATTAAAAACAGGTGGTTGCTGGAGTAGAGAGCAGACTCTCCTTTCTCCAGATGCATCCAGGTCTTAACCCATGGGCCTCTTCTGGTGGCTGAGATATTCAAAGCATCTATTGATATCCAAGGCTACCCGTGAGAGTGCATGCAATTTTTTGTACAAAAGATATTTTGATTTTAAATTTCTTCTCCATTCCCTCCACCTTTTGTAAGCTGACCTTGGATGGTCCCCTTAATTTACTTGTTGACTGGGACTTAGGGTCAGTTCAGTGGGTTCCTCATTATGGGGCGATTGCTTCCCTTACTTCTTTCTCCCTGTTAGACAGGCCTTCCCTCCCTCACCATGCCTCCCTCACTGGAGAATCTTAAAGTGGGCCTCTGTCTCACTGCAAGCTCTGACCACCTTCCTGACCTGAAGTGCCAGATTCAAAATTTCAGGAAATTGGCTCAGCAAGTCACATGTTATCCCCTTTCCTTCCTTAAAGTAGCTTCCCCGTTTTGAATTTTTTTTTCGTGTCCAACATCCAGAGAAGCTGTTTTAGGAAGAAGAGTGATCCCTATCCCTGGGATCATTTTAGTGGGGACTAGAGGACCACAAGGGTCAATAGTACAAGACTCCTATAACCATACATTTGTATTTCTGTGTTGTGCATGGCAGAACCCGTGTTGAAAGCTGAACACCCTTGTTCTTTCAGCCTTCAAAGAACCTGGACAGTGACGAGGACTCTGCTTTGGTGACTCTGTCCTTTGCCCTGTGCATCCTGGGGAGGAGAGCGCTGGGGACAGCAGCTCACAATATGGCCATCAGGTACCTGGAGAAACAATTGTGATGGGCTCCAATATTTGATATTTTGGACAGACCTTTGTCACATTCTTTGTTTTAAAATTGGACTGCTTATACTTGTTTCAGATGATTCTTTCCATAACATATGTTGGATCACTGTGATTCTTTGGAATATTAGAATTGGAAATGGCATTAACATGGATTAATCTGGGAATTTGGGGCTTAGGGCCTTCTGTGTTACAAAGGTCCATGTAGATTTTCTGGGAAGATTAAATGAAATCATGCATATGAAGTATCTAACATGGTATATAGCAGAATCAATGCTCAATAAATGTTTGGTCCCTGTTCCTATTTTTCCTCACAGGGGAAAAATCATCACATCTGTGCTCCATTTAAGATCCTTCTCTGCCTTTAGCTGTGGGTCTTTAGTTAATTGGATAGCCCTTCTGTTTTCTCAGCCTCTCTTGTTCTAGATCCTCCCCCTCTAGATGTTTATAGTCAACTTGCCTTTTCTTAGTGTAGAGGGCAGGCTGGACCACAGTATAGGTTTTCTGATCCCATGCAGACCGGGTAAAGGAGGAGTCAGAGTCCTCAGTGTTTTTTTGCAGGTCTTTTATTGGGGTTCACCAGGCATATGGCAGGCAGGGGTGCTGGGGGGCCAGGAAGCTGGCAGGACTCCCAGCCCCCAGCAGGTCTTCACTCTGGGCTCTCCGGCCTTCTCTCGGCTTCTGCTGCTGCTTTCTCGGCTACTTGCGTCCCTGTGACGCCGCCCTTAAAAGCACAGTCTTAGCGCAGGTGTACCCACTTCAGGTGCCCGCCATCAGGCATGCATTCAGGATCACAGGGTTCCTTCATCTATCCTGATGGCGGGAGGGCAGAAAAGCCTGATACCTTTTACCTTACCCTACACTTAGGGAACAAAATAAAACCCTGTCTGGACCACTCACCCTCCTTCACCTGTCCCTCAGGTCTTGTCTTATTCATAAACTAACTCTTAAACTTTCCCTCACAAATGAAAATAATAGCCCTTGCCCCACTGCTTCCCTGCCAGCTTGCTTCTGCTCCTAGCACTCCAGCGAAATTGCTCTTAATGAATTTCATCAGTCACCCAGTCATCACCCAAATCCGTGGTCATCTCACAAACTCTTTTGGGATTTAGAGATCAGTGGTTCTTAAATCAGGGATTTTGGGATCAGTAGTTCTGCGGGCCTACCCCTATTAGCGCACATTAAAATCTTTTAAGGGGCATTTAAATATCCTGCTACCCAGGGCCTAAGCCAGTCCAGACCAAGGACATCAGAAACTTTGGGGGTAAACCACACATCAGGATTTTTTATAGTTTTCCCAGTGAGGCAGGCTGGATAGAACATATCGGGTAGCTGCAGGACAATGAAAACACTGCAGCCTTGCCAAAGAGAATGCCATAAGAATAGTGAAGTCGGTCAACATCAAGATGGAAGATGAGTCCCACCCCCAAACCTTGTTAGATGCTCATTAGAAAGCTGGAAAAACCCATCCCAAACCAATGACACTTTCGGAAATGCCCTAATAAAGCCAAAAAGTGGGCGGCAACCCCATGGGACGGGGGGAGGAGGGAAAATACCTCCCCTTCTCTTTAAAGTGTTGCATATTCCACCCCGTCATTAAACCTCATGCCAATCCACCCATAAAAGTGGGAAACCCAAACCCAGTTGGCCACCACTCTATCAAGTTTGCACGCGCTTCTTCCTGCTATGCTTTCTCTTGCTACTAACGCCTGGTCTCTACAAACTCTGACTCCTGAATTCTTTCTTGGAACCAAGTCAAGAATCCGGTCAACCTCGGGTATAGGTCTTCCTTCTCTTTTGAGGCCTCTCCCGCCATAACGGGGGGTGGGGGGGGTTCAGTGTGCCCTAAGGTTGAGAATCACACAGGCCTAGGGAGCTTAAAAAAAGGGTGTGTCTTCTGCTGAGCCTCTTCTGGCTCCTTCTCTAGAGGGACTTTCTTCACTTTTTCTTCATTGCTTTTCTGATACAATGTTCTGTAAAAAGGGCTCTTTAGAGAACTTGAGTTTAGGAGGCTGGATTACAAGCTTCTTAAAGGCAAACCCCACTTGTATTTCCCCAACAGCCCTCCCAAACTCTGGCCACTGGGTAAACCTTCCAGAGAACCTTGTTCCCCATGTTCTCAAATGCCCTGCCTGCGGGAGCACTGGGAGTCACTATTGGTGGCAGGTTGTGGAAACACATCACTACGATAAGAGCTGAAAAAGTTGAGATGTGGTTGGGCGCTTTTCTTCATATCTTTGGAGCCAGTGGCCTCCCTCACTAAGAGGAAAAGAACTGAGGTAGTTAGAATGTGTGACATTGACTATTCTTTCAAGTCTACATCTTAGATTTTCTTTTCTTCATAGAGAAATGCTAATGACCTAGCCTTGAAGTCCTGTGTTAATAGTTGTGTAGGGTAAATGGAAGTGAACAGATTTTTTCCCACCCTCCCGCCAGTAACATCAATGATTGACACCTGTGGTCTTGCACGCCTGCCTGATGGCAGCACCTGGAGTGTGGTGTAGACGTGTGTGCGTGGGCACACCTGAGCCAAGAGACTCAGCATATAACGGTGTTGTCATAGGTGTGTGGGGGGGGGTCTGGCAGAGGACAGAGTGGCAGAGCACAGTAGAAGCCAGTGGAGAGACCACAGGAGAACTCCAGAGAGCCCAGGAAGAGTGAAGATTCGCCAGAGGGTAGGAGGTCTGCCAGCCTCCTGGCCCCCAAGCTTCCCTGGCTGCCCTGCACCTGGTTTCCTCGATACAAATGGTGTAGAAAGGTCATAAAAGCCTGAAAAAGCCACCAAGGGCTCCAGGACTTTTCTTACCCCTCTTCCCAGATCTGTAGAGAACCTGCCCTGTGCCTTGCTGGCACTTCAGGATTGTTAAAGGAAAATTCTCTGGGGAAGGAACACTGGTTCCAGGCTTTGTCTTTCTTTCCCTCTGACTCAACCTTACACTAGACCCAGGCAAATCCCTCTGTGGTCATCTGGGAATAATTTGAGGTTTGTTTGAAAGGCTAACAGAAGTGTCTCCGTGGCCTTCGTACAAGGCATGTTGTGACTCTTCTAGGAGCTGCTTCTTACACAGTAAGGAGAATCTTCAGGTATTTGTAGCATCCAGGCAGATGGTCTTCTTATTTGCTAGATTTTAAGTTTTACATAAATTTCAAATTTCTCTTACAAACTGCAAATTGAAATGCTCCAAAGTTTTCCCTCTTTTGGTTCCTGTCTAAGACCTTTTCAAAGACTTCTTCAATCTTGTTCTTTCGTAAATTAGCCAGCTATTCCTGACCAGGTGTTTTTTGCTTGGTCTGCTTTATTTTTTCCTTGATTAAGCACCATGTTTACCAGCTGCTTTTTTTTAACCTTGTTTAGATGGGATTTTCTTTGTTTCAAACAGTTTCCTATACCCAGTGTCAGGTCTACTTGTTGCAAACATAGTGATGAGATAAATCTGGGAATAAACTCTTGCTGTTCTAGGGAAGGATCTGATCATCTGGGACTGGTTCACTTTACTGAGAAGTAAAATCCTTCCACATGCTTTCATTTCAGTCTTTGACTTACAAAAGGTAATTTATTTTACATGCTACCCCAGGCCAGCAGTCAGGCCCGAAGTTCATGAAGTTCTGATTAGGTAGCTGCGCTGTGGGGCATAGAGTGGGCTACAGTGTGAGGAGGTTAGAACCTGGTAGGGTACCCATCTTTGCTTTGAGCAAACAGCTCTGCTCTGCATTTACTGTGCTGGAACTCAATACATGATTTTGAGTTCAAAACATGGTTCCAGAGTTCAAAAAAAATTTAAGATGATTTTAAGACAGTCAAATTGCTCTCCAAAACTGCTACCCCAGTTTGTATGCCCACCAAGAGTGCTTTGCCATACCCTTCACTAATGCTGGACATTTAATCAGTTTAAATTTTCATGGTCTCATGGGCAATTTTATCTTGATTTGAATTTGCATTTCTGTTGTTAATAGTGAACCTTTAAAGGTCAAAATATTTTTTTTATAAAATTTATTTATTTATTAAGATTTATTTATTTATTTATACAAGCACTGGGTACAGTGGTACAGTCAGAAACACTGGAGGGTGAGAGAATTCACCAGAGCCAGAGCAGGGAGCAGAACAGGCAGAAGGACCGAGGTACACTGCTGAGGGGAGCAGCGGGAGGCAGGAGAGGTCTGCGCACCATGTGGGACCCTCACTGGCGGCCAGGGATTGAACCGGTGCTGCAGAGGCTGCGGGCAGCTTCGCAGCCCAGCGCTCAACCGCTGCGCCACCAGGGGAGGCCCAAGGTCAAAATATTGTTATGTATTTATTGGTCACATTTTCTTTTCTGTGAATTGCTTGCCAGTTTATGTTCTTTAGCCATTTTTTGTTAGGTACTTAGAGGTTTTCAGGAGCTAGTCTCATTAAGATTTAACAATGTTGAAAATACTTTCTATCAAGATGTCCCTGTCTTATTTTTATATGACATCTTTTAAAAACTGATTTTACAATTTATGGATTTTTGTCTTTTAAAAATGTTTTTATAGCTCCAGATATGAAAATACTAGCCTCTATTTTCTTTGGATAAAATTTTATTTATATTTATTTTTATTTAATCTGTGATATAATTATAATCATTTTAATTAATTTGTAAATATCATTTGTGAATTACTTATAACTTATTTATATTTTTTCCATCTAGGTTTTGAATCCTGTTAAGTCTTAGAATTTAATTTTGCTCTACTTATTAGTTGCCTTGTTACTGTTTCATGGATTCTGACATTGAAAAGGATAGAAAATTTCAGGGTAAAAGTAATCTTTAAGAATAATAGGCAGACGAGCCAGGCATAGATGTGCTATGCCAACCCCCGTGCTGGAGGCTGCATGCCACAAGACACAAGGGACCTATGGCAGATTGTCACTTGCAAGGGCAGGAGGACACAGAGCAGGTTCCCCATGAACCTAGCAGACAGGGTGAAGGAGGAGAGAGTTCCAGAGAGTCATCAGTGGCT